ATGTATGATATCAAAAAATGTTGTTGTGTTTTGCAATCAGTAACATATTGGGATATTAACGTAACCTAAACAGTCATAAAATTGTTACGCCATGATGTTAACAAAGGGTTTTTTTTCATTCTCTATGCAAAGAGTTTAAACTCATCTCTTCATAGAATTGGTCTCTATGGGCAAGCACAGGTGGTTTAATTGTGCAAAAAAATATCAATTAATATTATCCTTGCTTCTAAAGTATGCCACGAAAGACTGCTAATAATCCTCTCATACATTGGTAAATCTTTATTATAATGAAGTTGATTCCTGTGTTGGGGCTACCACATTTGAAAATAACATTTTAATACTACATAGTAGCATTAAATCTACCACTATCTAGTAGTGGGACCAATATATCTCATAGTGTGAATAAAAAACAGGAATTTTAAAAATTGAGTTATTACTACAAATAAAATGATAACTTTGGATGGTAAAACAATTGTTAAAAAGTAATTAAGTACCACAATGAAACATGAATCAACATTTGCTGCTGGCAATCTATCACTGGATCTTTCTAGAATTGCCAGTTTTATGTGAATTCCACTAAATAATGTGATGTAGTTGTCATAATTTAATTCCATATTTTGTAACTTTAATAATAAATGTTATTATAAGAAGTTATCAAGTTTTTTTTGTCTTCAAGTTATCTACATTCATCTAGTATACTGTTATGTAGTTGGTAACTAAGCAATAAAAACATAATACTGACATAAATTAATTCAAAACTAGTATGACTTGAAATAAAATAAGAAGATAAGAATGCTATGCTTCCTTCTCAGTCACTTCCAAAATATCACATGCCCTTTTCTTGTTTTTTGTAATGAAATATAATGATAATGAAAATGAAGTAATTAATCATACAGATAATAATGAAAATTTAAATCGTCCATGTCCTGACAATATTACAGGGGACATAAAAAACTGTGTACAACGGCGCTGAGAACTAAAAATTGTTTTTGACATTTTGACATTAGGTATTGGTAAGCTATTTGAGATCATATTACCATATAAGCTATCAATTAATGCACATGATAAATTTTAAGTGTGAGATAGGAGATATTCTCTTGGACATTTTGAAGCTACAGTGCAGTTAGGAGGAGTTCAACAGTAGGTATTAATACCTAATTATCAATCATTTTTTACTACTAAATAACTAAGATAAAATATAATAATTTGGAGAGAAACTAGAAATCTTTATTACTCATACTTATTAATAAAAAACACAAAAAATTTAAACCAGAAATCAAAAAAACAAAACTAGTTAAAAACTAAAACAGACTTCTTAACATAATAACAATACTTCTTAACGACAAGCTTACGCCTCAAAAGGAGAATCAGTTTGTAGTAACCTGTGATAGGTTGTGGTAAAATGAATGACAGTCTCTAGGCAATTCAGTCTTTAAGCTTTGTAAGTGATTCCATTTTGTCAATTTAATGGATCTCCTACGTATGTGTAAATTTTCGTATCCATCGCCATAATTTACTTTCTTTGGTCTAATTGGCAAGTCTTTCCAGTCATCATCAAAATGTAACTTATACTCAATATTACCGGAGTTCTCAAAATTGTAAGGTATAGCCCTTAAATGTGTTACAGTGGGGTTATTGCTTTTTCGACCAGGTTGAATTGAAGTATATCGCAAAAATCTGTTATCTGCATAATTCTTAAAAAATGTGTGGTCTACTTCTTTCACTTTATATGGAAATGGTTTCTGATGAGCTTCTTTGGTAATTTTCATATAATCACTTGGAAAATATATGTCTGTTTTTTTAGCCTTTTCTAGATTAAACTGTGAACAGAGTCACACTCCATCTGTGTGTGACCCCGTTCCAAAAACTTCTGAATTATTTCCAAATTGTTATCCACAGCAAATTTTAAAAGTGCATTTGCCATTACTACATTCCTGTTTTGGTACACAAACCCGTCCGAAAACAGCACAATAGGCAATTTTTTTCCAATACAATTGTCTGACAAGTAGTCTATAACAAGTAAAAGTTGAAGCACTTAAATCTGATTCACTTTCATTGAACCAATAATAATAACAATAACAATATCTTTATTTTTAGAAAATAATATACATTCCGTGAACATAAAATTATTTAAAAAAACAGTGTCACAAACGAAAATATTATTTACTTATTCCTAACCGTTACATATACAAATAGTCCTCCACAGAATATGGCTCAAGAGCTACCAGTAATTTAAATATTTGATGTTTATAAAAACTTAATCTTTCCTCCCTTTTAATAGGTTCAGGCAGTTTATTAAACAATTTGATGCAGCAATAAAGAGCGTTTTTTTCTGTTATACTTAACCTGTGTATTGGAATTTTATAATTATATAACCTGGTATTTACTATACTATTGGGCTCAAAGTTCCTAAGAGTATTTTATTTTTATATAGAAACAGTAAGCATTCTCGAATAAATACAGCGTAAACTGTTAAAATATTATTACTCCTAAAATGCCCTCTACATGATTCCCTACTTTTTAAGTCAAACATAACTCTGATTATTTTTTTCTGAACCAGAAATACATTATTTATGTCCCTACTGTGGCCAAAATTTATTAGACCATATCTAAATTTTGCTTCAAAATTAGCATGATACACTGTTTTTAATGAGTTACTATTCATGTATTTTTTTAGAACTCTAAAGCTGTAAATTACTTTACTCAAAGACATACATAACTGGTCAACATGTTTATCCCAACATAAAAAACTGTCGATATATAATCCTAAAAATTTGGTACTGCTGCTAATATTTAAAGTGTCATTATTTACAATAATACTGTTTGGCATATCTGAATGTGCATAATTTGTCTTAAACAAAAGATCTGTTTTATTTTGATTTAAAACCAACATATTCATAGAAAACCAGTCTTTAACTTTCTGGAACTCTAAACTAACATTAACGCTTAGAACAGACATGTCTTTACCACTGACTAAAATGTTTGTATCATCTGCATAATTTGTTATGCTGGAAGTAGTATTAGCCACTAGACCATGAAGATCATTGATATAGATCACAAACAGTAAAGAACCAATCACACTTCCTTGTGGTTCTCCAATATTGATAGTGCTTTCAGATGAGATGCCTATTTCAGTGTTTTTATGTATTTTTACTAAATGTCTCCTATTTGCCAAGTAGAACTTAAACCAGTTCAATGCTGGTCCACGTATACCATATTTCTCCAATTTATCAAATAATATGTCATGCACTAAACAGTCATATGCCTTTGATACTTCCAAAAAGAGACCCAAAGCCATATGACCAATCTCAGTACATTTCAAAATATCCCAGACAAATTGAAAAATTGCAGTCTGAGTTGATTTTCCCTGTTGATAACCATGCTGATTTGCACTAATAATATGACATTTTGTTAAACATTCTGTTATCTGCCTATACATAGTCATTTCTAAGATTTTTGAAAAGGAACATAGAAGGCTAATTGGTCTATAGTTATTAATTAATTTAGGATCACCCTTTTGATGGAAGTATTTACGACGAAATTATCAGATAGGAGGTATTGTCAGTACATGGATGAAATGGTAAATAAATTTTATATTATATATTTAACACTCAAATCCCGAATAGAAGAAACATAATTCAGTTGCTGATTATGAATAGTATAGCTTGTTCCAATTCTAATGACTTTATGAGACAAACTTATAAAACAACATTTTTTACATTTAAGAGGAGTTTGTTCTGATTGCACCAAGTTTGTAGGCGGTCTAAGTCATCTTGTAGCAAGGTTTGATCTTTTAAGCTGTCTATAACTTTCCAAAATTTTAACTTTTTAATTGCTATTTAGGAAACAGGAAGTGATGTCATTAACTAAGATATTAAAAATAAGTGGAGGAGTGTGGCCTCCTTGAGGAACTCCAAATGTTATTGGTATACTGTCAGACAGATGACAACCAATCTTGACTCTTTGACTTCTCCCAGATGTAGAGTTTTTAATCCATTCAACAAGCTTAACATGAAAGCCTATATTAATTAATTTGCCCAAAAGTTTTTGGTGATCTACAAGATCAAATGCTTTGGAAAAATCAGTGTATATGGCATTTGCAAAAAGCAAATGTTATTAAAGAGGAACTCAAAGCTCTGAAGAAGATGAGTCAATAATAATATTACTAGCTGACAATGGCGATGCAACTGTAATTATGGACATAGGACAATATAAGGAGACAATCAAAGAATTAGTCACAAATGAACCTTACAAAAATAAAAAAAAGGATCTAAACAAATCTTTGGAAAAAACTGCACAAATTTAAGGAATACCTAACAGACTACCAAAGAAGAACCCTACAGCATGAATCCAACAGGAAATGTACCCCTCAGGCTAAATTTCCAATAGCATGAGTTCTCCTTGTAGCAGATTGTTAAACATAATACATTAGACATAATACAGCTTCTAGCAAGTAACACAATAAAACATATATTAAGATCTCTTTGCAAAAAATAACAATTTTTACAACAACCAACAAAAATAGATTACACTTCCAACAAAATGCTAGTGCATTTTGTTGAAATCCAATTTTGAAATCACCAGCCTTTTCACTAATGTACCATTGGAGAAAACTTTAAAAATACTAAGAGTCGAATTAGATAGATGATACATTGACAATAAAAGTCAAACTGAATGTATATATGTATGTGTATATAGCTATCATGGAGCTACTAAGATTTTACACAGACAACACTTATTTTCAACTATATAATGATTTCTATTAGCAAAATTTCAGATTAGCCACAGGCTCATCCTTACCTCCATTATTATCAGATAGATTTTTAACCAAAACATTCTACACAATTTTAGTAATATAAATAAACATTTAGTAATATTTCCTGTACTATTTTAGTTTTTTTTTTATAATTCTTATTTTATTTAGTTTTAGTTTTTATTTCTACCTGTAGCTAAGTAGTAATTTTTATTTTTTTTTACCCGCAGAAAAAGCTCAATTTAAAATGGAGAATGCAGCTTTGAAGAAGAGGGCTCACTTGCCGGTGTCAAGGATTAACACTATTATGAAGAGTTCTTCAGATGTGGACAATGTAGATAAACAATCATCTTTGCTAATGTGTAAAGCAACAGAGATGTTTATAGGAATGTTAGCGCTAGAAGGTTACAAGAAGGCTAACCAAGCCAAAAAATTAGACTACAAACATATAGCTGAAATAGTGCATGCAGAAGAAAAATATAATTTCCTTAGGGACATAATGCCCAAAAAAATTTCAGTTTTAGAATACAAAAATATTATGGCGAAAAAACAGGCGTTAAATAATAAGCAAACAAAAGAAGAGGTTTCCTCCTCAAGTTCCTCAGACGAAGAAGACTCTAGTTCTGGAAGTGAAGCAAGCAATGCAAGTGCATAGTGTAATCTGTATTTATATATAAACACCTTTTTCTAAGTTTGTAATTAAATTGTCAAGAGTATCAAAAACTGCTTGGAATCTCTCTATGTGGACTCACAATTATAAAACTATCTTTGGTTAAGATCTTAGTATTATGGACTTATAACTTAGTATAGTGTGGAGAGGTGCGTGAATGCAAATGTGACAAACACTGCATATTTGGAAATGGGTATTATGTGATGATTGTAATAACATTGTCCATGAAGAATGCTAAGTTGAAACCCCTAATAAAATTGTGTTATGCATGTGCTGTATATCTTTATGTTAATATTGTAATTTAATAATTTGTTTAGACCCTTAACCCTCCAATACATGCGCTCTATTTTCTTATGTGCTTACACACGTGGATACATTAGTAATCCATACATACTGGAGCTCTGGAAAAGCAATATTATTTGAAAATAGTGATATTGTTTTAATGAGGTTTTAATAATACCACTGCAATTTATAATTGGCCTTATTTTATAAGTAAAATGTTCATTAAATTAAATAATAATGCAAATTAAAAAACAAATACTAGGAATCAAATTTACCTGTAACCAAACGTTACAAACCAAACTAGGTTCTATAATATCCTGAATATAACATCTTAATCTGATTCAGACTGCTTCTTCTTCTTAACGTGCCCTATCAAGTCCCCTTGACGTTAACGATTAACATGGCGAAACTGTCTCTGTCTCGAGCTATTCTAAATAGTTGCTCAGCTGTCTTTATTCCTGTCCACTCCCTGATATTCTTCAACCAAGAGGCCTGCTTTCTACCAATTCCTCTGCGTCCTTCGATTTTACCCATCATAATAAGTTGAAGAATATTATATCGGTTTCCCCTTACTACGTGTCCAAAATAGGCCATCTGTCTACATTTGTTGTTATCAAGCAGCTCGCGAGCAGCATTTGCTCTTTCAAGGACTGCCACATTTGGCAGCATAGCCGTCCATGGAATTTTTAGTATACGTCTGTGCAGCCAGATCTCAAAGGCCTCTAGACGATTAATCGTGGATATTTTTAATGTCCATGCTTCGACACCGTATAAGAGGAATTGAAGACTGCATGTTCAGACTGCATGTTGTGTATTATCTCAGCACAATGTACACATATTTGCTTTAAATGTCCTAGGCAAGTCAACTGATGACAGCTGCTGCACTATTTTCTTGTGCTTTTATTCCTTGCTCATCCACAAATATGACAACACCCAAGAACCAAATATCGAGTCGGAACTTTTTTAGGAGTTTCCTTATTTATTTTTAAAAGAAATTTAATTTTTTCTTTTATTCTGTTGATGTATGAGTGTTGTCTAGTCGCCTTAACATTAATGGTTTTATTAACTCAAACGAAATCCTGAAGAAAAGTGTGTATTTTATCACCCTTGTTATTCAATTTATACAGTGAAGCCATCTCAGAATTAGCGCTTGCCAAGATCAGTGAGGGCCTTATAATAAACGGTGAGTCACTTAATAACATAAGATATGCTGACGACACCGTCCTTCTGGCAGGAACACTAGAAGAACTGCAACACCTTGCTGAACAACTAAATATATATTGCAATGATTATGGACTAAAAATCAATTTGAAGAAAACCAAGTTCATGGTATTTACAAAAGCACAAAACATTAAAGTTAAACTAGTACTAGATAATACAGAAATTGAACAAATATCTTCGTACAAATACCTTGGAGCATGGATCACAGAAGATACTGATCAGACAAAAGAAATAAGATGCCGCATTGAAATTGCGCGGTCAACTTTTAATAGAATGAGAAAACTTTTTTGTAATCGCGATATCAATATATCGCTCCGGATAAGAATGCTTCGATGTTATATTTTCTCTACCCTTTTGTATGGAGTTGAAGCTTGGACACTTAAAAATCCAACATTAAAAACCTAGAAGCATTCGAAATGTGGTGTTACCGACGTATTTTGAAAATATCATGGATGGATCGCAAAACAAACGAACAAGTTCTCGAACAACTAGGAAAACAATGCGAAGTTTTAAATTCCATAAAAATCAGGAAATTGGAATACTTGGGGCACATCATGAGAGGTGAAAAGTACGAACTAATAAGGAATATAATGCAGGGTAAAATCAAAGGTAGAAGAAGCGTAGGAAGACGTAAAATCTCGTGGCTACGCAATCCCCGTGAATGGTTTGGATGCAGTTCAATTGAACTATTCAGGCGAGTAACCAATAAAATTATAATTGCCAGAATGATTTCCAATCTCCGATAGGAGGGGAACTTGAAGAAGAAGAAGAAGGGAAAATGCATTAATTCCTTATATATTTAATACATCAAAGAACAAAGTGAGTGGCGAACGTTGAGAGTTTCTGGAAACATCATATTGTGCACACAACCAGATTCAGATGTCAGCCAGATTCACGCCGAATTTTGTTTTGTTGCAAACCACTATTATTTCGGGTTTGTTCTTGTTTTCTGTTTCAGTATTAATACTGTCATCATGGTGCATGGTTGAAATAGCTAATACGACCTTTTTTTTTGGAACATACATTTCCAAGGTTAATTTTTCTTGGAGGAATTCCAATAGTGAAGAATGTATGTCTCTGTTTTTAGACGTTATAAATTCTTGTGGTAGCTCCCTCTTATTTTTACGAATTCCACCAACAATAGTTAATCGCTTTTGAAGCAACTCCATGGCCAAAGGTATACTGGTAAACCAGTTATCCATGGTTACATTTCTGCCCGTTCCTTCTATGGGTTTAACCATTCTTTTAACAACCTCTGCGCTACTCCTATCAGTTTCAAAAGGACCAGTTGGTTGTGTTACACAGTGAATCTCCATATTATAGGTATATGCATATTTGCTATCTATTAACGCAAATATTTTTATACCATATTTGGATGGTTTACTGGGGATGTATTGACGGAATTGACATTTTCCCCTCAAAGCAAGTAACTGCTCTTCTTCTTATGGTACCTATCCGTTACGGATGTTGGACACTAACATGACTATTCTGACTTTGTTGACTGCTGCCCTGAAAAGTCCGGTAGTGGTTAAGTTAAACCATTTTCTCAGGTTATGCACCCAGGATATTCTTTTTCAGTTGTTGGTTAACTGTAACTGACCAGGTAGTATCCTATTTTTGCTTATAACCATGTATTTGGTTTTTTTGATGTTAAAATCAAGCCCAAACCTTATACTTACTTATGCCACCCTGGAGACAAGTGTCTGCAGACCTTCAAGACTGTCTGCAAAAATGACAGTATCATCAATGTATCTTATGTTGTTCAATCGTTCTTCGTTTATAAGTATTCCCTCGTCTATGTCCGTTAGCGCTAGGTTCATAATGTGCTCTGAATATGTATTGAATAATAATGGGGACAATATATATCCCTGTCGCACTAGTACAAGAAATTGCTCGTTAACTGTTAAATAATCTAAAGGTGTAAATTTTTTTTGAAACTTCAATAAAAAGTCCAAAAATATCATTGCAAGTTTATCCAACTCTCTCCTTTATTGTCTAGAAATAAAGTCGTCAAACCTCAAACATCCCAATAGAAATGATTTAAAGACATTGTCAACTAAATAGCTTCAACACCAGTACCTTTCTTATTATCCCACGTTTGCAAAACAATTAGTCTTCCAGATTTTAGAATACCTGCTAAAAAGAGTATACCAATAAATCCCTAAATCTCTTCGACGTCGGTCATTTTAGCTTCTCTTTAGCGTTGGAAATATGCTCTTACATTTTCAATATAGATGTTGGTACAACACGTAATTTCTTTGACGATATTATCATCTAGCATACATTTGAAGCATTCAAACTGTGTTTTTGCATTTCTAGCTTCTGTTATTGGTCCTGGTAACTTCAAAACAATGTTTGTTGCACGAGTTCTTGAAGTAGGCGCAGGACACATCCTACTCCACTTTGTTTTTTTGTCTTTGCCAAGATAGTATTTTGAAATTATTTTTTCTTCATCCTCCCGTTGAACCTCTTCATCACAGTCTTGTTCCGATTCTTATGCAGACATGGTACATTCTTGTTCTATAACATCATCAGATACATGTTGCTCAACATTATAGTCATCTGAGCAGGTATCGTCGTCACTACCATCTATATTCGGCTCCTGTTCGTACTCTATTTCATTATTTATAACAGAACACAATCTATTTCTTACATCTACACACATCAAGCGACAGTCGCATACTAAAACAGTTCCTTATCCTATGTCCTGAAGGTATAAGGAGATAGGCAACATTATATACAGTATAATCCGAATAACAATATTATAAAATTCACTGAATTACGTATGTAATCCACGCGTGTACTGGAGGATTAAAAAGAATGTTACAGTTTGTTTCAATTTAATATTGTCACCACTTGCTTTATATCAGGCAAAGTCTTTTTGTAATTATTTATTAGATACAAATTTGTTAATCTATTAAATCATACATTTCCTTTATTAGAATTAAATTTCTTACCTGTAATTTATAAAAACTACTTTATATTAAAGCCATTTCTTCCTTCATAAATAAAATTATTTAATATGAAAAGTTCACTTTTTAGAATACCTGTACCAGTGTAGGGGAATAATCTACTGATAATTTTATTGTTGAAAATAAAACTTTTTTTCAACCAACTAATAGTTATTCTATGTTGTTTAAAAATCATTTACAGATAAGTTTCTGAAATTTTTCGTTGTGGCTAATATTTATTCAAATATGAGTCTGTAAATGTTAGCTGATTACTCTGTTTCCATAGAACATGTCAGAATACCGTTCCCCCAGTAGAACAGAGAAAACTGACCCAAAGCCGTCCCTGCATCTCCCAACTGTCAAGTTTATCGAGATGACCTAAATGACCAATGAGAAGGTCACGTGGTCGATAAATCCTGCCCATTCGACAGAGATGCAGGGACTGCTTTGCATCAGTTTTCTTTGTTGCACTGGAGAACGCCTAACATCAACAGAAAAGAATTCAAGGCTACCACACGACAATGCAGAAGT